AAAGAGCACAAAAGTGCTGTCAACACTTCGAAGTTGTGTGGAAAATTGAATACAAACTGAGCTGCTCAGTGAAAGGGGGTTGGGAACAGCAGGAAATACAGTTTAGACTAAAAGGCATTTCCATAACCAAGCAAAGCTTTTCCGATTCGGCCTAGGGCAAGACCGCAGCGCAATTCTCAAAATTTCAAGTTTCACCAAATCTCAGGAGCTTCGTTTCAAAGTTTCAATACGGAATGAAACCCTTAAGAACTTTCCACTATTCTTAAAGGATCCAAAGTAAGACAACCCAGGTCTTCCTGGTTTGGTGTTCCCTGACTTAAGCTGGCATTAATTGCGACAAGCTTAAAACTCTAAAAGGAAATAGAGACAATTTTCTGGTCCAAACAAGCCCTTGCCAAGGCAAGGTAACCTGAGTTAATACTAAGGGTCTAAGGCAACAGCTCTCAGAACCTTCACTTGGTGTTGCCTCGCTCCAGTTATTAAACTCTATTTACGTCAAAGATCCATTGAGTTCTTCAACTTCACAAAAACTTTCCCCTATTCCTAAGAGAACCTAAATATGATATCCAAGATCTTCCATTTGGTGTTAAACAAATAAGAGCAGGAGCAATTACTAAAGTGTAGATAAAGACAAAGTGTTAAGGTTGACAAACATTGTGATGCTGCAGGGAATTGATCTATCTTTTGTTGTACCAGAAACCAATAGAATAATATATGGATGCCTCCAACCTGGGCAACTTATGTATTCCATTTCAGTTTTTCCTCTAGATTCATTTTGCTGTGCCACAAAAAAAAAGCCAATTTATCTAACCCAATTCCAAGCTGTAAACCTTTTTCGGTAGCCGCAAAATGAAATTTGCAATAAATTTGGTTACAAATGCAATTTAACATAAAATTCTATTGAACAGTTGCATTGAAGGAAATTTCATTTGAAATAATTACATTTGCGGCAAAGAAAAAACAAAGCCTCGACCCGCTGGACCCCAGCTCTTTTGCCATTATCATTTTGAGCTCGCAATATTCCATGGTAAATCACAAGTTGGCAAATCCCAAATGAAAAACTTTATTACAATAAACAATTTATGTGGCAAAGGCCGGCCAAAAAGTTCGGACCAACTTGCAGCAAAACAAATAAGAATGAAAGTAAATAAAAGGGTTGGGCAACGGGGCCACGGCAGGAGGTAAATATAACTTGGCCAAAGCTTTCTCTTCTTATTGAATAACTTTTTGTTTTTACTTTTGGTTTACTCTGACATTTACCTCGCTGTCAGATGTATGCCAAATGCTCTTCATAATAAATGTGCCTTAACAGATTGGGAATTATAGTGTGCAAAGCATGAAACACAAGAAGAACTCGTGCAAATGGAAGAGAAGCAGGTATTGAGGGAGTTTGACTAAAGAGAGGTAAAGTATATTTATAAAAGCAGTAAAAAGTTTCCAAATTTCTATTCGAATGATAGTTGCGTATATTGAAATTTTCTAGTCTAGCTAGCGTCAAGGCACTGTGTAGAAGGAAAGGTTTGTGAACGACTTCAGGCTCTCGGCTAACAAAGGATTACCCCAAGCAGAACACTCTGGCACTGCTTTAGACCCACAATTCAGATCCCTGAAAGACTTTACTTGGAGCAGCACATAATCTATGCAAGTGCAGCCAATACTAGGGCTAGATGAAATAATCTGGGCAAGGAGTCTGTTTCAGGAGCAGGTAGCTCAACTTCCCCCAGACGCAGCAGAACCTTTCGCTTTTTTGTGAGACTGTCTTTACCTCAATTTTATTATAATAACTTTTATCTATTATTATATTTAATGTGCAAACGTTCATTGAGGCGCTGCCCATTTACAGGGTAGCTCTCTTTGCCATGCTCTAAATACAGATTCAGTTGAAGATTAATGATATTAAGTATGATAAGCGAAATATGCATATCAAACAATAAAACTTAGCATATGCATAGATAGAACTTTCTGGAGGAGCATATATTTTTGCCGGGCATCTTCGAGGGGAGCGCGACCTTTGCCTGTTTTTGGGGCCTTCGAGTGCATTTGCTAACTACTTAAGCTGCCAAAGGAAATTTCAATGCCATTTGTCTTGGCGTCGCATTATTTTTATTTCTCCCTAGCTGGGAAATCAAATTGACAGCGACAGGCCACAAGTGGGCTACCTGGATGGTTGGCTGTTTTCGGTGGTTGGGTGGTTGGGTGGTGCAGCATAAAGTTTGGCAGACACGTCTGCGGCAGGCACTCTGGCATGATTAGCGGCTGGCAGGTCGGACAAGACAGTTGCGACTCAGGTGAGACATGTCGTGTCACTGGGCGGCGCGGCGAACATAAATCTAAGCGAAGATGAAGCTGTTAATGGAGCGAAAGCTGAAACCGAGCGCCGCCAGCCGAGGCTGCCCAACAAAATCTGAGAACTTTTCCACCTTGCGTTCTTCTTTTTGCCTCGTTGGGTAAGTTGTGTACCTTTATTTATTTATCACAGCGACTGCCCACACTGTTAAGGTGCAAATGTTGCAGATGATTTGGCCCAGGTGGGCGGAGCTGGTCGCTGTTCGTGTGGTCGCTGCAGCTTATCGAGCCGGACAGCTGACAGTTGTTGCAAATGCCAGCGACAACAATTTCAAACGCGGCGCACTTCAAGCGTTTCCTTTGATAAATGGCTGCCTGTCATTTGCCCGTGTGGCAGGGTGGGGGCAGGGAGAAGGCGGGCAGCAGGGGTTCGTTGCCAATTGACGGCGCCAGCACGCAACAAGAGTTGCCGCAAAGCGCATGGGGTCGAGTTGCTACGGCAACAAGCGGCAAGCACTTTAAAAATTGAATTAAAGTGAAAAAAATTGAATGCTTAGGTTCAACAGGGACTGCCAACTTGTTGGGTTTCTTTGTTAGCCCTGCCAACTTGTTGAATTTGAATTGACACATTTGACTGTTTTAATGGGACTGCCAACTGCGCGGCTTCATATTGAGACAAGCAAGTGTTGATCTTTTCTTTGGGACTGGCAACTTTTTTCTTATAATGGAACTGCCAACTTGTTGCATTTTTTGAGACTCATTTGGTATTTCATTGGGACTGTTGATTCTTGAATAGCACTGCCAACTTGTTGTCTTTTCGTATTGGAGCTGCCAACTTTAATTGGCACTGCTAACTAGGCAGCTTCCTGCGAAGACTGCAAAAGTGTTGACGTTCTTTTTGCGGCAGGCAACTTATGGATTTCTATATTGCAACTGCCAAGATTTTGATTTTATTGGGACTGTCAACTTCATTCGTTTTTTATTGGGACTGCCAGACTATGAGTTTATGCAGAGGACTGCCAACTTGTTGCTTGAGTATTGGAACTGCCAACTTGTTGATTTTCTATTGAAATATTTGACTGTTTTATTGGCACTGTCAACTAGACAGCTTCTTACGAAGACAGCAAGAGTGTTGACCTTTTTAGGGACTGACAACTTCTTTTGATTTTTACAATGGAACTGCCAACTGGTTGCATTTTTATCAAGCCGTCCAAATTGTTAAATCTTTTTATGAGCTGGCAACTTATTTGATATTGGGGCTTCCCTGATTTTCAATGGGAGCTGCCAACTTGTTCGTTCTTATATTGGGACTGCTAACTTGATACTTTATATATATTTTCTATATATATATTTTTTCCTTTCTTTAAATGAGTTGGGGTTTTATTGGGTCTGCCAACTAAGCTGCTTCGTGTTGCGACAGCCAAGGTGTTGGTATTTTTTTTTTGGGACTAGCAAGTTCTTTTCTTTTTATAATGGAACTGCCAACTTGTTTGTGTCTATACCGAGACTGTCAACATATTGCATCTGCTTTATGTCTGTAAATACGTATACTTAATATTCCGTATATATTATTTCAATGTCATGCTAATATTTAAAGCTTTGTACAAGGTTTTTTCAAATTAGTTTTTGAGTTGACTTTAAAATTGTATCAAAATGTCGAATCACTTTTCGTTTTACAAGATATCCGAACCAAGCCCGAAAATTACTCGCTTAAACTACGCTGCTTTTATATGAGCCCAATCAGATTGAGGTCGCACTTCTATACTATATATTATATAGCTCTATAGGAAGAATCCAACGAGATCTCACACGTCTGCCAAGGCATAAGTCAAATGTCTGCAAGGAAATTAAATCTTCTGCTTGCCACAGATCTCCTCACTTTCTCACTTTCAATGACTTTTGCTTATGCTATGTTAATAATTTTCAGAGCTTTGCTTTTCTCGGCAATATTTTCGTAGTCAAAATTTGAGTGCAATGCTCTGGCTTTTGGCTTAATTGCCAGCACAGTCTAACATGGCCAAAGCCAATGCCCAAAAATGTACTTAACTTGATTATCAGCTGTGGCCCGAGTCGAACCGAGTCGAACTCTGTTGAACAGAGTCGGGCCGACAGACACCTCAAAATGGCCGGCAGGAGCAGAAATTGTGGGGCAAATCAAATTCGACGCTCAATTAAAATTCAATTTGTTGCGCGCCATTAATTAGATTCCCCTTCCATACGCGCCCGCCCGCAGCGGCCCGACAAACTTTGGCCAAACAAGTTTCAGACAGCGCCACCTGCGACAGAACCCCCATCCCCCCCCACCCCTATCCCCTACCCCCAGGCTAATGCAATTTTTCTCAGTGATGCTTCATTGAACTGCAGCCAGGCAATTGTAGGCGAGGGGCAATTTCTAATTAGTGGACGGGGGTCAGCTCTTCGACACTTCAATTAGTTGTAATCTATGCGCATAAATTGCGCAGTTGATGGATGGGCCGCAACAAAAAAGAAAAGACAGCAGCAGCGGCAGCAGCAGCAGCGGCATGCAACATGTGGCAAGGTGCCAGGCACGCATAAATTACGCAACCCTCGTGGGTTACACTAATTGTTTATACGGACCCCGCAGCTGCGACCGCCCTCTCTCTGTCTCTCTCTCTCTCTCTCTCTCTCTCTCTCTCTCTCTCTCTCTCTCTCTATCTCAATGGTCAATGGCTTTTGGGCACAACTGTACTCACCTGCTTCTGCAATGTGCTGGAGAGCTCCTCGAGGCACTCCTTGCGCTCGAAACGCTCAAACTTGAAGCTATTCGAACGATAGAGCTCATTGTCCTCGCGTCTACGATTGCGGCACAGGCGACGTGTGATTATGTTTCCGCTTCCGCTCAAACGGGGCCTAGCAAATACAAGAGAACAAATGTGGGCGTGGTTAGGTTGGGCGGAGTTGTTCTTATGATAGCAAAGGCAAATTGTAATAAAATCATTTTTATGTCTTCGATTGAAACTTTTGTTGGCTTTCGAGCATTTATTTTCATTGTTCGATATATGTTTTATTCTTCGATAAATTTGTGTCGAATCGATATGTTTATTATCGATTTATTTCATATTTATCGCTAGGTTTCTTATCGTTAGCTACCGATATATTTCTTTAATAAACGAAATATTTATTATATGTCGATTTGTTTGTTTATTATCGATATATTTTGTATTTATCGATATATCTATTACTTGTCGATATATTTTGCACAACAGCTAAACTCAACCTAACTTTAACCTAACCCCATTTAAGCATCTAAGACACTTTCTTTTTTATTTTCCAAGCTGCAATCAAAGTTTTTTCCAAAGAAATTTAAAACTTGCTTCAACTTCATTTCAGTTTTCTCAACATGAATTCAAAGATGGGCTCGAAGTCTTCCAAGCTGTAGAACTTATATCGGTGTCAAATAGTTCCGATTTCGAGACTTTACTTTCTGATTTCTGAATTCTGGAGTTCCTGAAACAATTCATTGTGTGATTCCTGAAAGAGGGAAGAGCCCGATACGTGGGAACTGTTTGTAAAATCCTCGACTTGGGGTAGTCATAGTTTCAGCCCATTGCAAAAACTACCCTAACCTTAATCGGCATATCACATTTCGAGCGGACCAACCACCCCACCCCCTTCCCTTTTATGTTAATCATATGCCAAAAGTTTACAGTTTTGAGCTGGTTTTTCTTTTTTGATCCACCTGCCCCCCGTACGAATGTGTCACATCATTAACCAAGCCGCTGGATATTACTTGTTAGCACGGGCCCAAAGCTTGTCATTGCCCCCCTCATCACCCCCCCCCCCCCCCACAGGCCAGGAGGGGCCTTCCGTTTCCACGCTTTGGGGCCAGCACCTGGCAAGAAGCTCGTTAGGCGGCGCTTCATTAAAATTTGACACATTTGGGACGGAGGCCGAAAAAAAAAATTGAAGGAGAGAGGGAGATTCTCTGTCGACCTGGTGTCGGGTTAAAGCCGCAACATTTAAAGTTGCCAACACGGAAAATGTCATCGACCCAGTTTTGCATTTGCATTTGGGTTCATTCAACGAATGACCCCGCCCCCAGCCCTGTGCCCGCCCTCGCAGCACTTCAATGAAACCAACTAACCGACTCACCGACTCCAGAGTCCGTCTCCAGACGAGGCGAAAGCGTTTGAAGCAGGCGAGAGTGCTCCAAGCGGAAGTGCTCAGCTATGAGATACCCTGTAGTCAGCTCGAAGTCGAGAGCGACTCGGTGCAGCTCAGGCTGGACTTCGAGAGGGTTTGAATAGAAGTGCAGAGAGCCTGACCAGAAGTCGAGTGTGCCCAATTAGAAGATACCCTGTATGCAGCTGAGACAATAAGACAGCACTGAGTCGAGAAGTCAGAAGAACCTAGCCTGACATCGAAAGGACTCGACATGGAAATACCCTGTACGCAGCTGGAAGCAGCTTAACAAATCTACAACTGGATGAATTTGTAGGCAATCGATATATATCGATTATCTTCTAAGATATACAATCGATATTTATCGAAGTTTTACAAATTCTAAATAAACTGGACTTGTGTACGCTTCGGCTGAAAACAGGTAACAACATTTGTAAAATATGTTCAAAAAAAAGGGAGAAATATTTTAAATCGATAAATAAATGTTATCAAAAAATCCTTATATGTTTAAAAAAAAGTATTAATTCAAGCTCTCAGTCTCTCTCTCTCTCTCTCTTTAAGGAGAGAAAAAAGAGAGTAGGACTTGATTGTCCTTTACGATTTCGAAACCAATTTCTTCTCCCTGCTCGGTGCATATGCACAACTTCAGTACACCCTTTGGTCTCGTTTTATGGGTCCTGGGTAAAAAAACAAAAGGCTTAAGCTCGACGCCCAACAAAAGCCACAAGCCACTGGAGCAGGCTCAAGTGTTGGCCACTTGGCCACTTGTGACTGCAACTTCAACTACAACTTGATGCCGAAGTCAACCTTCGGTTGGGCACTTACCCGCAGGGCTTGCAGTGCGTCATGTGCAAATCCCAGTTGAGGTGAAAGTTGAACATGCGCAGCTTGGCCACCGCCCGCTGCCTCAATGAGATGTCCGGCGCCGCCTGTGCAGCACCCGCACCTGCTCCGGCACCTGCTCCCGCTGTTGCTGCTGCTGCTGCTGCAGCTGCTGGATTGCCGCCCGCTGCCAGCACCGGGGCACGCTGTGCATTCGGATACATCATGACGGTGCCGCTGGGCGCCGAGCTGGCGAAGAGTCGATGCGAAGCGGACACGGTGCCGCTGCCATGATGCCCATGGCCGTGTCGATAGTGCTGATGGTGCTCCTTCAGCGTGTAGAAGCCACCAGAGGAACTGCAAGCACAAGTTCATGTTAAAGCTGACGTTAAAGTACAGGCTAAACTTAAAAGTAAAATTAATGCTTAAATCTGGCTATTATTATTCAAATATACGTACAATCCGGCCTTGCCCGTGGCACGTATCAAATAAATTCTCTCAAAGATCTAAGAAAACGAGTTCAAAATCGATCGCAGGGCAAACAAAAAACTTTCATGCAACCGCTTTCCGCCAATTTACCACTGTTACGGGTGGAATTTCTCAAATTGCTGAAACACGCATTCATTAGGTTCTCAGATTTAGATGCCAAACCATTAACAAAGAGCCAAACCTTGTCAAAATCGGATGAGATTTGATCGAGTTATGGAGTTGGGAAATTTTTACCTATGTCTATATAAGATATTCGATATTCGACTTTTTTCACATGAATGTCGACCCAGAATAATATTGCCAAATTTAGATGCCAATTTGATCTAAAGGTCAAATCATGAAGAAAGTGACAAACCTCGTGCAAATCGGATAAGATTTGGCCAAGTTATGGGGGTGAGAAATATCGGCTTATATTTATCTATGTTGGATATTCAAGGGTACAACTTTCAGAATCGTAGCTCTTACATTATGGTATATGTATGTATATGTGTATATTTGTATGTATGTATGTACGTATGTATGCACGTATTTATGTATGTATGTATGTATGTATGTATGTATGTATGTATGTATGTATGTGTGTATGCGTGTATGTATGTATGTACGTATGTCTGTATTTATGTATGCACGTGTGTATGTATGTATATATGTATGTATGTTTGTATGTATGTATTTATGTATGTATTAATGTATGTATGTATGTATGTATGTATGTATTAATGTATGTATGGATGTATGTATGTATGTATTAATGTATGTATGTATGTATGTATATGTATATGTATGTATATGTGTATATTTGTATGTATGTATGTACGTATGTATGCACGTATTTATGTATGTATGTATGTATGTATGTGTGTATGCGTGTATGTATGTATGTACGTATGTCTGTATTTATGTATGCATGTATGTATGTATGTATATATGTATGTATGTATGTATGTATGTATTAATGTATGTATGTATGTATGTATGTATTAATGTATGTATGTTTGTATGTATGTATTAATGTATGTATGTATGTATGTATGTATTAATGTATGTATGTATGTATTAATGTATGTACGTATGTATGTATGTATGTATGTATGTATGTAGGTATGTATGTATATACATAAGTATATATGTATTTATGTACATGTGTATGAATCTACAAATGTATGTATGTACCTACATATCTATATATGTTTGGAAGTGTGTATGGATGTGTGTAAATATGTGTTTATGCATGAGTATATACATGCATGCGTGTATGTTTGAATTCATGTATGTATGAATGTATTTATGGATACGTGTATACGTGTTTATATGTATGTGTGTGTGTATGCATGTATATATTATGTATACAAATATATATGTAAATCAATGTATGCACATACTTTGTATGTCTGTGTGCAAGTCCAAATTTACGTATTCTTCATAAATGCCCTACTACTCGATTCTCATAAGTTCAAGTAAGGCTTTAATTTTGAAGGAGGCGACTTCAACTGTGGAGGAGACGGCGGCGGCTTGAGCAAAGGAGGAGACGGCGGCTTCAACTATGCAGAAGGCGAAGACATTAATATTAGAAGGAGGCGGCGGCTTTAATATTGGAGGAGACTTCAGTAAAAGAGGAGACGGCAGGAGGAGTTGGCAGCTTGAGCAAAGGAGGAGACGGCCGCTTCAACTATGCAGGAAACGGCGGGGGCTTTAACATTGGATCAGACAATATGCAGGAGGCGAGGACATTAATATTAGGAGGAGGCGGCGGCTTTAATATTGGAGGAGACGGCAGGCAGCCTTAACTTTGGAGGAGGCGGCAGTTTGAGTAAAGGAGGAGACGGCAACTTCAAATTAGGCAATGGCTATGGCTCTGGCGGAGGCCATTAAAAAAAACTGGTACGTATTTTAAATAAAACTACGTCTTATTATAGTTAACATAAAAGTAACAACTATTTCAACTTGCATGTATCTGAATACATACATATTGAGCTGAGTTAAAAATGAACAGGAACCGTTTTTACACAAATGGCTCTACTATGCGATTCTCACTAGTTCAATAAGGTTGATTAAAAGTTCATAAACATTATCTCTGCTTTTTCCATTCTTTCAGTGATGGGTTTCGTTTCCCGCCTACTGATTGACGATGATTAAATAATCCTGCTTGGGAAATTACAGGTAAGTATATACACCTCACCTGTACTATAGGTGAGTATGAAAGTACAAATATATATTTATATATATATATATAAATCTGTTGGTCCTGGTAAACTGACTGGCAAAGCTGTTACTCTATGTGATGATGATGCAGGTTAAGAGGGGGTGACGGGAAATTCCACTCGCATGTGTGGAAAAATGGCGAAACTTTCCAAAAAATACATTGCTCCTCGGCATAAATGTGGGTTAAAGATTTGACCATTGAAGTTTCTGGTTCAAATACATTTCCAAGGGTCTTTATAGACAATTTTTGGGACGTGCTTCAAGGTTATTTGTCTGACTGATTGATTGAGTGCCAGACACTTTGATTGACTGATTGGTTTCTGATTGGAAGAACACTGTATTATGCAGCTTTCTTTGGATTGTTTGGCCGTAAAATAAGCTTTTGTCTGGCTAACTTTTTATGCTCTCACAAAATATATAATCTATATAATATGATTCGTATAGGAACAATCAGACAAACTTGCATGCTCTAAATTAACAAAGATGTTTAAGATTTGTCGCTTTAGTTAAGCATGAGCTACTGGATTTGAACCGGCTTCCTCGTGGGTGGCCAAATCTAGTTCCTCGTTTTAAGATTTGGTTATGCTTAATGGATAATGGTTGGCATACAAAAGTGTGGCTGTACTTACGACATGTTATCGCCACCGGCATCGCCCACACAGCTGGTCACACTGGCCATGCCGCCGCTGCGTCGCGGCCGGCTCTTGCGGCGACGCCGCCGCCGACGCTCCGAGGAGGCGGTGCGCGTCTGCAGCACATGTTGGCTAAGCGATTTGTGGCAATTGGACGGCGGCTGACCGCTGCTGGCCAAACGTCGCCCGGTCGCATTGCTGCCGCCGGCTGCGCTGCCGCTGGCGCTGACGCTGACGCAGGGCAGACCCTGTACGGCGACCACAAGCTGCGCATCCCCAAAGCCGCCCGCCGAGCTGATGGTGTCGCTTGACTGCGGCGTTGCGGCGCCGGCAGCAGCGGCGCCGGCAGCGACGCCAGCTGCTTGGCTCGGCTGCGACTGCGACTGCGACTGCGACTGGGATTGGGATTTGCTGTTGCGCAGGCTGTGATTCACTTTGCGCCACATGCGTTCCATGGCGTTGGATTTTGTGCGTATGTTTCTGTTATTTTTCTATATTTATCAATTTTCTTTAGTTTTCTTCTTTTTTTTTTTGTTTTTATTGTTGTTGTTTTAACTATGCAATTTTTACTAGCTACAGGGGGCGGCTCTGGGCAGGAGCTAGGAGCTGTAGTGGAAGTTATTGTTGCTGTTGTTGTTGTTGTTGTTGTTGTTGTTGTTGTTATATTTTTGCGAGTTGGCAGTGTTTGGCTGTTGGTTTGTCAGCTGCGGCGCTGTGCAGCAGCCGCGACATGCCTGCACACACACAGACACACACAGACACAAACGCGCGCACGCACACAATAACAAAAAGCTACTCAGCAGGAACTATGCATTATTGTTGTTGTCTTGTTATTAGTTGTTGTTGTTGTTGTCTGTGAATTGCGGAAGCAGAAAACAAAGAGCATGAATTGAGTTTAACCAAACACGCACACATACAAAGCGTAAAGGCGCTTTACATGTGTGTGTGTGTGTGTGTGTGTGTGTTTGAGCGAAAACTTTTGTCATACACTTTTAGGTTAAGCACGCGCTTCACTCATTTCGTTAAGTCGCGCCATTGTTATTGTCGTTGTTGTTGTTGTTGTTGTTGTTGCGCCTATTGCACTTGTGAATGAAAATGGATTGTGAATTGCAGAGAGCAATTGAGCGAGGCGCATACAGACACACACACTCACACGCACACGCACACACACACTCACACACAAACTAGCTGCTTGCACAGCTCTATTTTATTCGATTTAACTTTTCACTTAAAAAAAAATAATAAATTGTGAAATAAATAGCAGCAATTAGCAGCAGCAGAAAAGCAACAGCGACAACTGAAACTGCGAAGATGAGTAGCACAACGAGGATGGCGACGGCGACGGCGACGGCGACGACACACATTTCACGTTTTGTCTAATTTTGCGTTAGTAATGAGCGGAGAGCGCAAAAAAAAATACACCAACAGCAACACACACACACACACACACACACGGGAGAGTTTAACGTCGCGTTGGCAACGCAAAGCGCCGCATTTGTTGTCGCCAAGCTGTTGTTGCTGCTGCTGCGCTGCTACTGCGCTGCTGCTGCTGCCTACAGTTCTATGCTAGAGCTCTCTATGCAAGCACAGTGGGCCAAATGCTAATTGTAGCCTGTCAATTAAGAGGACAATTTAAAAAACTCAACGAAATACTTTAACGCAAGTAAAATATGACTTTAAGAGTGTGCAAGACAGGCACAGCTTTGAGCTCAAAAAATCTTGCCGTTAAAAACTTAAAGGACACGCTTGCATCTTAAGTGAGGCAATAAAGTAAAGAGCTGAACCGAAACCCGGCTAAACAGAACGAGTTGAAAGCTCCAAAAAGCAAGCGAAACTTCAAAAATGCGCTTTAGTTGAGCTTTTTTAAAATTTTCATTGAGCGGCTTAAGCCTGGGCAAGTCTTCATAGAGTATTTAAGAGCTTAAGCTTGCGAGAGCAATGGCATTTGCATGTGAAAATAATAATAAAGAAAAACTGAGTAAATTGAGCAATTTGCGCCACTGTGCCTGCACAGGCAGGAGCTGTCCGAGTACGCTCTCTCGCTCTCGCTTTTCGCTCTGCCGTGCGTGGGCGCAAGCCGTCGCTGGCGTCGTCGACGTCGTTTTTGTATGCTGCCACGTCCTGTGTATAACACAAACAATTTGCGCTTGACGCTGTAACGGAATTCCTAGCGAGAGAGCGCATTGGCAAAGTCATCAATTGATACATTTGGGAAAATATGTCTTAATATTCTTGAACACTTTTCGTTGTCTACTTTTAGGCACATGCACAGACACACACGCGCGCACACAGTCAGCGGAAACGGAAGTGTTTGTCAATTTACATTTTATTTTATCACAAACAACGAATTTCGCTGCGCCTTTTTGGCCAGGAGCAGATGCCTCTGCCCGTTTATTGGCAACGCGCACGCACAAATAAAGCAGCCACAGCGAGCAATGCTCAACGCTGACGCGGCAGCGCCACATTCCGTTACTCGCGCTGCCAGGCTCTCTCGCGCGCGCTCTCTCTCTCTCTCTCTCTCTCTCTCACTTTCTGTCACTGGCTCTCTTTGCAAAATGTAAACATTGAGGCTGCTTTCTAAGCCGGGCAACTAATTAACACTGCGCGTTGTCACGAAAATCTTTAGCTTAATTAGCCAAATTTATTGTTCTCTTTTATTAACTTTTTAGTTTGCCGTTTGCATATCTTTTCTTTCACTTATTTATACAGTTAATATCGATAGCTATGCTGTTGCTCGGCTGCCAAAATATCGAGTTTTGTGGGAACATAAACGGGACTTTTTTTGGGGATATTTCAAGCGGCATTTGTTAACCGCACACAAATGCCCCCTGTTGTTAACCGGCGGCAACAGCGTAAGCAGACGCCAGATGGCGCCAGCAAGGTATTTCTGGTAACGCAGCCGCTGCCTGCTGGGATATTACGGTAAATATGGTATGTACCGTAATCAGTTGCTGGAATGTTCGAAGCAGCCGCCATTCGGCACAGTGGAACGCCCTACATTATAAATCTATGAAAATTGTTGTGAAAATTTGATAAATGTTTTTATTTAAATTCCAGTAATTTCTTATCCAATTCTGTTTTTACGCTACACTGAGCTAGGAAAATAACAGTGAAATTACAACTGTTTTAGTCAATACCAATTGTTTATTGTAATGGTAAATACAATTTCAATCAAAAATCGCCGCCCATATTAAAACTTCAAGTTCTATTTTATATTTAAGTTTGCTTCACTTTTTTATATAGTATTTTTAATTGGTTTGCCAGTTGGCTGCCATATTCATCGGATCTATCGTAATCGTTATCGGTAACTTTATCTTTATCTGTATCTTTATCTTTATGCCTCTATACTCATCGTTTGCCTTAGCTCTTAAAGTGTGGCATAGAACAGCTCGAAATAATATCGATATACTTTGTATATACGCGCTATTCGTGATGGTTATCGTCAATCGATATATCGACATATCGATTGTGCTGCTTGCAAAGTTTGCCATTGCTACACCTATACACACATATATATCTATGCATATATATATATATATAATTTGATCTTGATCTGTTAGTTTAAACATTTAGTTGACATCGAACATACACACACAAGAAATGCCTTTATACGGTTGTGTTTTTTTTTTCGTTTTTTTTTTTCATTTTCTTTTTGTTTCTTGACATTAGATCTGATAACTGTATCACTACGTTTTACACACAAACACACACGCACATCAACTTTGACAAAGGAAATTTCTTTAAGTTACAGTTACGTGCGCTCTCTCCCTCTCTCTCTCTTTCGCTCTCGCTGCTTTTCCACTGCTCTCTCTCTCTCTCGCGCTCTCTCTCTCTCTTTAACTTACGATTACTAAAACATTGGCCTATTGCTCAGTTTTACAAATTACAAATTTCTCCACTGTGAGTTCTGCAACTGCCATAGAGTTGCCCCACTGTGCGCTGATTGATACCAAAAATGTACCCAGTTAACAGGGTTGCCATATAGTTTTGAGAAGAGTTTCTTTTCGTTTTTTGTTTTTTTTTTTTTTTTTTTGTTGCTTGGCGTTTTATCACAAAAAGTGTTTACGAAGTTGTTAAACAAAAGCTAAAGCCAAGAAAATAATAATTGATAAAAATAATAATAGAAATTACAGACAAGACGGGAGACAGTCTGTTATGAGTGTTTGGAACGGGTTCGGGCTGGAACATGGAAGTGGAACAGCGCCTGCTTTGATTACAGCTATGCATATAGTCTATATATAAATTGTAATGTATATGGCTTGACTGATTTAATATATATTTATTTCAATATTTGTTTCGCTTTTGATGTTCATTTGTTTCAAGTTAATCTAGTAAAAATCGCTTGCGACTGCAAACAAATTGTACAGCACACACCTAACCTCAAACTTCTGAATGTTGTGTGGCAACTCTTTTTTTGTTTTTTTTTTCTATGCTCTTTCGGCTTTTGATTCTACAAAATGTGTGAGTTTCAATGTTTCTCTTTGTTTTTTTTTTCTTTTTTTGTGGCACCTTAAGATTTGCTTGATGCTGCATGTGTTGCGTTTTTCAACACAGTGTTGGTCCAGTGTTCGCAGTGACCACGTTTTTTTTTCGCTTGGTTGACAAAAAATCGCTCGAGAAAACTTCTTGTGCATTTCTTTTTTTTTTTTTTGACAATTTTAGCTGTGCGCCAAAATTTGCGTCACATTTCTTCTTTTTTTTTTTTAACCAACAAATTTGTTTTTCGCTGTTGCCGTTTTGCAGCGCACTTAAATTTGGCAACCGCGCGCGCGCATATTTTAATGCCGTTTACTTTCTTCTTCTGCTGCTTCTTTTCAGCTGCTTATTGCAACTGTATTTAAATTACATTCTAAATGCTGCAGCCCTTTGACCCTCTGACCCCTCTGACCCCTTGACCCACCGCCCCGCAATTCTAAGTTACAATTTTTGTTGCAATTTTTGGTTTTTTCTTGTTTTCAGTTAAAAATCGTTATGTTAAAAATTTACGTTTCGTATTTACGTATTAGCCAATTGAATGTTACCAATTTTGTGCTTCTCTGCTTCTTCTTCTTCCTATTCTTCTTCTTCTTCCTCTTCCTGTTCTTCTTCTTCGTTTTGCTCAACATCAAATATAATTCTATTTATTTTGCACACACATATTAGCACATTTCTACATGCATACACACACATATACATGCATATGCATATGTATATGTATGTGCATATGTATGTGTATATGTATGTGTATATATTTGTATTTGTATTTGTATTTGTATTTGTATTTGTATTTGTATTTGTATTCCGATTATATGTACAATCTTTAGCATAAAAACTGGTTTTAAATTAAGTAAAATTACAATAATAAAAAAAAAATTAAGACATATGTGTATGTATATATGTATGTGTGTGTGTGTGTGTGTGTGTGAATAAAATGTTTAAAAGCAGCACAAAAAAAAAAAATATTCAAGAAAATAAATGAATGCATTAGTAAAAAAAAAAAAAAAAAACTAAACAGGCTTAAGAAATGTTTTTTCGTTTTTCTTTTGCTTTCTTCTTTTCTCTTTTTTTTTTTTGCTTTTTTTTTTTTTAAATAATTTGCATGCGCTAACAACAAAAATCAGCTTAATTTGTAATTTAGGTGTAGCAAAAAAAATTTGTATTTCTATGAGCATACACACACACGCACACACACACACACACACACATGTATATATAGAAGTATGCATGTATGTATGTGTGCATGTATATGCATTCAGATATATGTATGCATGTATATTACGTAATGCCTATCGTAGTGCATCTCGTTCCACGTATTTTCCATTATGATTTAGTATTTGTTGCATTAGACTTAATTCACTCTACTCTCAATTACATACATATATATTTATATTTATATATATATTTAGTTTTTTTTTTTACTCTTTAATTTTATTATGCTCTTCTGCTGCTGCTCTTCGTCTGCTCTACTCTGTTCATTTCTTGAGAAGAAGAGAAAAACCTCTCTCTTCGCACGCCTTGACGCTCGCAAAAGTATGCTACAAATTATGCTTTAAATAGTTTTCTCTTCTGATTCCGCGCTCTTTATCGAAATGTGCTTTCTTCTTCTTCTTTTTCTTTTTTTGTTTTCTTGCTCTCTTGCGGCATCGTTTGCTTTTGGTGTTTAATTTTTTGTTTTCTCTCTCTCTCTCTCTTGTTTGCTTTAAACTTACAAATTTGTTGTTTTTCGTTTTCAATTTTTTTTGTTGCCGTTTTTTTTTTTTTTTTCATCTTTTATGTGAAACAAATTGCATTTGTTTTTGTTTCGTTTGTTGCTTATGCCTACAAATGTTGTTACTGTTGTTGCTGTTGTTGTTGTTGTTGTTGTTGTTGTTGGTCGTCATGGACAGAGCGCCAGCCAGTTGCAGCTGCTGCCGGCGACGCCGGCGTCGCGGCTGACACAGAAAAAAAAAAATTAATGTTTTGCCAACGCTCGCTCAATATAAAATTGACACGACTGTCAGAGACAGACATATGCATAGTTGCTAGAGAGCGAGCGAGCGAAACAGAGTCGCAGACAGAGAGTGAGTGAGAGAGAGAGAGAGAGAGAGAGAGAGCGAACGCGAGCGCACGCGTGCTGCAGCCTGTGATCTTCAGGCCACACACACAAACGCACACAAACACATTCTCTCTCTCTCTCTCTCTCACTGTTTCTCTCTTGTGACCACACTCTCTCGATCTAACGCCTCTCTCCATCTACCGCTGGCTGGCCGGCTCAAAAGTGCTCCAAAGCTCTACGCAGCTTTTTACAATAAAATGGACATTAAGACTCGCGCTCCTTCTTCACCTTCACCTCCTCGCCCAATATGGTTGTGATTTCACCTTGCATGAATGCCCACGGTATGGTGGAATTGGCCAGCGGACAGCGCTCACCACTGGGACAATACACCTCATTGCCGAGACCCTGCAAGAAAAGATGGAAAGAGATAGCATTAGTAACATTCAAGAAACTTTGCACTCTCTCTCTCGCTCTTGACTTACATTCTGACGCTTGATGCTCTCGCGACTGCAGGGAAAACAGAACTTGTGTATGTTCACCGATGGGCACTGGACAAAGTGTGTGTCCTCCAGACGCTCCTGGCACAGTGTGCACTTAAGTGTGGCGTTTTGTGCCGCTGCCGCTGCAGCCGCCGCTGCCGAATTGGGCGCCGCACTGTTGCCGGGCGCACCGCCAAGGCCACCACCTGTGCCGCTGCCTCCGCCGCCGCCGACGCCGCCGCCGCCGCCGCCGCCGCCGCCACCGCTGCTGCTGCTGCTGTTACTGCTGCTCATGCCTGGCGCACCCTGGCTGCCGCTGCTGCCCGGCCCGGCGTTGACTGCGCCGCTGCCATTGCTGCCGCCCGGCCCGATTGAGCCGCCATTGCTGCCGCCGGCTGCGCTGCCAT